GGAATACAACAAATCGCAGCAATAGTCCATTATACTATAATGTTCTATTGCTGGGATCTATAGTCCTCTATAGCTGGTGTTATTCTGCAGTTTGCTGTATAATGATTATACGGCGCACCGCAGAATAACGCCAGCTATGGAAGACTACAGCAAATCGCAGCAATAGTACATTTGTAGTCCTCTGTAGCTGGTGTTATTGTGCGTTGCGCTGTATAATGTACTATTGCTGGGAGTTGTAGTCCTCTATAGCTGCTGGTATTCTGCAGTGTGCTGTATAATGATTATACGGCGCAACGCAGAATAACGCCAGCTACAGAGGAATACAGAGGAATACAGCAAAATGCAGCAATAGTTCAGAACAGTAATAATACATACTGTGTAGGGATGCACAAATACCAATACTAGTATCGGTCTCGGTGCCGATACCGAGTATTTGGGCGAGTACTCATACTCGCCCAAATGCTCCGATACCTTTCCCGATACTAGAACTTCCGGTCAGAGGAAGATTTTCTTCTGACGGGCAGTGCCGCGAGGAAAGATGGAACCGGAAAGCTGGCTCCATGATATTTGGCTGGCTTGATGCTGATTGGCCAGGAAGCCGGCTTCCCAGCCAATCAATGTCGAGCCGGGCTATTGTCATTAACTATCCCGTTTCCTGAACAAATTCTACCAGATAATGCTTTATTATGCCCTCTAAGCATTTTACAAACTACCGATGTTAGACTGACCGGCCTATAGTTCCCAGGTTGGCACCTTGCCCCCTTTTTGAATATTGGGACTACCGTAGCCCTCCGCCAATCACTGGGGATCCTACCAGTCATTAAGGAGTCCTTAAAAATGAGGATTAATGGGCTAGTTCTAACCTGGCTTAATTCCTTAAGTACCTTGGGGTGCAGGTTATCCGGACCCACTGCTTTGTTTGCATTGAGCATTTTAAGTCTTTGTTGTATCCCGGTTTCCGTTAACCACTGGGGTATATTTTGAGTTAAACTGGGAGTTTTATCATGTGTTTGAGGACTGGAACTGGACTGAACTGGACCTGAAGTAGAATTTCAGGTCCCCCTCTGCTGATTGGCAGCAGCAGAGGGCGGGCGCAATAGCTAGTTTGCTATTGGCTATTGCAAAGTGAAATAGCCAATAGGAATCTAGCTATGTGTTCCTATGGGTTTATTTTTATTTTTTTTCTGACTGATGACGGCCTGCGGCTCGATGTCAGAAAAAAACAAAACAACAGCAGAGAAAGGTTTGCTCTGCTCTAACGAGCAGAGCAAAGCTTTCCGGGAGAAAGTTTTTTTTCTCTCTGATTTACGGCCGCCTGCGGCCCGATGTCAGAAAAAAAACAAAACAGCGGAAAGCATTTTGCTGTGCTCGATCGAGCAGGCGACCCCCGGCAAATAGTGATTCAACCCCCACATTGAGAACCGCTGTATTACATACTTACATTGGAGCTTCTTTACCTGAAAAAGGATTTGTATTTCTGTCTATTGAGCTCTGGAATTATACAGCTCTACCACAGGAGAACTGCTTAAAATACATTTAAGGATATATTCATAATTGCAGAAATGCATTAATTTGTGTTTTAAATCTACATGGAGCTTAGTTTTAAAGACATTGGTAACTAACAAACAGACAAATCAGCGGAGTACTGGATGTTTTTGCTTATTCGATATTATGTAGAATGCAGCAGGAGGAGCTGAAACAGAAAATGAATGGTGGAAACACTCTAAACTGCCAAAAAAACTCAGATAGATTCATGTCCTATGGCAGACAGATGTTACGGTTGTAGTAACCAGCTGACTCAACCAACTATAGCATGTTTGAGCAGATTGACCCTTTAAAGAACAGCAGAGTGGTAAGGCAGGCCTAAACACCACTATTCTAACTGAAGTCAGCAATTGCTCACTCCAACAAAAAAAAAAGTACTCATCCTATACCTGATAGCTTTGCATACTTACCACTAAGTGATCCAGAACCAGTCCTCTTTCAGGTTCAATGCTGCCTAGCATCATTCACCTCACTTTCTGGAAGTCCAGGGTGTCAAGGATTGATTGACATCCCGGGGGTACTCCGGGGCTCAAAAGAGAATGCTGCAGAGAGTGGCACTATATCAATACCTGTCGTTGCCCTCTGAAGCATTCAGGACCCCTACACCACCAGAGGAAAAAGAGGAGCAAGGGGACTATGACATTCTATGAAAGAACTGAAGATCCATGAAAAAAAGATAAGGATACGAACAAAAAATAAAATAGGCAGCAGAGTTGGTGTTGCAAGGAGAGTGGAGGGAAAGAAAAAAGGGTATTCCAACCTGGAATTTGGCTTCAAAAAGAAAAGTCTTGTATACAACACAATTGATGTAATACAGTTAACATGGTCTCAACATTTGGGAATTAAAACATCGTCTGCTAAGACTGGCAACTTACACGATCAAACCAAGACCACCTGTGGTTTTATACTCATAGATGACCTCAAAGCAGTACAAACGTATCAACAATATTTTTAGACACAAAGGAGAAAACACAATTGAATGTTAGAGGTTCCTGCCAGTTGATAGAACATATTGTGAACCTTCAGAAAAAAAGATCAGCCAAGTGACTCACTCTATTGAATAAGGGTTCCAAGGCATAAAACTGAAAACAAAATTATTGCATTACTTATTCCGGGAGAAGTGTTTGTTCCTGAGACCAAAATATTTACTTACTTTTCTATATAAAATAAAAGGATAATTGTTTTTACTGCATCTGGTTCGACTTACTCATAAAAGGCACTTTGGTAAAAAAAAAACCTGCTCAATACTACGTATGTAGGCACTAAAAAATACTGATAAAAACATCTTCCACAAGGTTAGGCCAGGAAGTTACACTACCCAGTTGAAAATCTTAGACATACACAGATCCCCACCCCCTCCCCCCTGAAAATACACTGAAGTACACAGAGTGTACATCCTGCGCTTCTTTAGCTCCTCCCTCATATTTGCCAGCAATTTCCAGCTGTCAAAATAACAGCTGGGAGTTGCTGTGCAAATAAGGCCACTCTTTCAGCTGCTGCTGTCAAAAAATGGGCCTTTTGCCTTCTTATACAGATGTTCCTCACTTACCGACTTACCTGTTTTGCGACCACTCGCACTTACGACGGACCGCCGACCGCCGATCGACCTCCGACCTCGCGCGTCAGCGTCAGTGCGACGGGTCGCCGGCGGAAGTGACATCCCCCGATCTTCACTGCAGGTCTCGGTAAGTATTTCCATTGCCGGATGTACAGTACACTGTTCGGTACTGTACATCGGCAACGCTATACAGTACTGTCCTAATGCAGTACAGTACTGTATAGTGTTCCTCACTTAACGACCAATCCGTTTAACGACCTGGTCGTAGGAACGGAACTCGGTCGTTAAGTGAGGAATACCTGTACAGTGTTTATTAACTTGCTCTGACTGGGATAGAAATATACAAAGTAAAATTGTTTCTTTGTATTTACTCAGTTTCATTGATCCGCATGTAAAAAAGACTGAGCTTTGACCTGAATCTGCTTTTTCTTTTAAATAAAATCTGCTAACCATTAATATTTAAAATTTTTATTTTTATTGTTTTTGTCTGTTATTCATTTTTTTTTTTTTTAGTGTTGCATTAAAAAAAATGTGCACATCATAAAAAAAGACATTTAATTTATAAACAACTTTGAAACAATTGGTACCAGAATGATAATTTTAGTGCCATTTCAAAAATGACAAATCATAGAATAAAATATTTATCCACAGGTGCCTTTTTAATTTTATGTTGTCTATGTGGCTTGCATAAAACATAAAATTATTTTGTAAGACAATATCACCAAAGGAAAGCCTTATCTGAAAAAATGATTTATGTTTTACTTTATCTTAAGTAATGACAAAGCTATTATTCAATAAAAAGGCCCAAACTAAAAAAAGGAAAACTGCTCTGGTCCATAGAAGGGTGTACAAGTGTGAGCTGAAGTGAGGGATTTAACTGCAATTGAATCTAACACTGAAAATTAAGTGCTATTCGGTTCTAGTGTTCTAGGACACACTAGCTTGCTTACTTTCCTCAAATGCCAAGACTGGCTGTCCAGAAATAGCCACCAAAATTCAGGCTATTTAGGGGTCACCCTGCATTCTCCAGTAGTGTGGAACTTAACCAATGCAGCAGCGTTGATCTTGGTATTGTTTTTTTCAACCAGGATCCGGCTTTCACACACTGACGGAACGGCTGTAGAGTCAAACATTAACTTGTATGGTGCAAAAGAGTGTACACCATTCCCTCCTCCACTGTTGCTTTCAGCTATCCCGGGCTCTGCTGTCCCTCGAATGGGTTGGTTGCTCAGGACCGACACGGCCGGTGGACCAGAAGGAGATCAGCACAGACCCTCTGCCTGTGTGTTACTGAAACTATAGCGGTAAGGATTTTGTCACTTCCGCTTGCAGCTGGACAAGAAGCTGGTGAAGTACAATCATTGTCATTACCTCCCTTTATCGAGTAACAAGAAAGTATTGACAATGGCTGGGGATGAAGCTACAATCAAAACCAGTAAGCAGCTGAACATTGCTTCAACATGTTGGATCAAAGACAGCAATAACATTTCTGTGTTTTCAGTGAATGGTAGACTTTTGGCTCAGTTAACATTGATCAGCAATCATTTTAACTCCATTTGCTTACACGTTTAATTACTTAGTAGCATGGCATGGGCATTTAACTATTAAAAGCGTTCGATAAACTAAAATGTGTGTGGAAAATATACAGTGTGCTATAGGTACGTGATTTGTGCTGTAATGTCTATTGTAATTTAACAAATCTATTTCTGATCTCTAAAAAAAGAAAAGAAGCTAATTATGCTATGCATGGTAAGGAAAATACAATATGTGTTACGCTTTTGTGAAATGAGTCTTAGTCCTTTAAAAATACCAGACTGTAAAGTATCTGAGAGAAAGCATAGGCAAAATATTCATTCAAACCATCCGATAACCCAAAAAACAAACAAAGACAACTTACGTGCATTTACTACATGGTGATTATGATATGGAGCTGGACAGAAAACTTGTGCAGCATAGTCTTCAAATGTGGTGGGCTCCACATGTTGCTGGATGATTGAATCCAAGTACCGCATCCTCTCCTCAAAGCTTTACACTTGGGTTAAGAAAAAAATATGTAGGCAACAGATAAATGCATCAGTTACAGCTCTCTTAATAATCATTCAGAACATGAAGAAATTTATGCTATCAGTACTGAGGACTATATAAAAAGGCCATGACCACAACTGTGACTTTTAGGCCCTATTGCCATGGGGCTTTAGGCTGTGGCTGTAGATTCTGTGGCAGGAATGCCAGATGTGCCTGCACAGATGTGGCCACTGTGGCCATTTAAGTAAATAACAGCCAGACAGCGGCCACATCTGTCAGCGGCAGTCCAATTAAATGCATCGCAAATACCTGCGATTTAGGATAGATGATTGTCCCTGGATGTAGACAGATTTTGCACATAGACAATAGTCTACTCTTAACTGCATGTAATAGTTTCATGAACCATTACATGCAGGCTGCCGCTGACAGATGTGGTCACTGTCAGTTTATTATTAACTCAAACAGGCACAGTGGCCACACCTGTACAGACACACCTGGGATTTCTGCCGCAATAATCTGCAAGGTTCTTGCCACAGGACTCCCCAGCCACCCCATATGAATGTAGCCTGACACATTTTTATCAGAAAGACTTCTAGAATTTAACCTTGTTTGGAAATAATGTTCCAGTGAAAGGAAATGAACGTACAGTGGTTTACTTTGATATTTTACCCTTTCCTTAAACCACAATGTTTGCTGTTGGTCTACAACCATTCTACTTTGTGCACTAAACAGCCTTCGAGAAGAGATGAGAGAATCCATAAGCGATTTGGGCAGGCTGGTAGCATTTAGGTTAAAGTGACATTAATGGCTATCTCCCCCACCCAATGTTAGTGTAAGGACTTACCTTAAATCATGCCTCTTTAGTCGATCATCTTCTTCCTTACTGTCCCTTTCAGCTGTCCCTCCAGCGCTGGTGCGGGTCTCCGATCCAGCGCCGACTCCTCTATCCTCCTCTTCTCTGATGTCCAACGGAGTGTGTGCGGGTGCACGCTGCTCCATAGACTTGCCTTGGGTCTCTCCTCATCTCCCGGCTAAACATCTGAACTGCGCATGCGCCCGCCCCAAGATCCTTTGCGGCCGCCGAGACTCTTCAGATGTTCGGATGGGAGCACACGGCGAAGACACAGGTAAGTTTAAACCTGTTTCAAAAGGGTTAAAAAAAAAAAGAAAAAGTTTTTGCATATGGGTTTTTGCATATTGCTAGCAATGCATACTGCTTGCTAGCAGTAGATATATGCAAAAAACAGTGAGGGTTTAATAACCCTTTAATTGTGATTCACCATTTGCTTTCAATAAAAGTATCCTGCAAAATGTTGTACATGTTGTTCGAAGGTATGAGGATGGATTCATACCAAATGAGTTTGGGATGCGCTGGCTGTCTGTTCCAGTACAGCCCCAATTCAAGACAAGGCAATTTGCTCCATCACGGATGGGCATGTTGTGGTGGTGTGCGCTGAAGGATAAAGTACTGCATGCAGTACTTTTTTTTCAGAGCAGCGGGCAGCAACATGGTACAACCGCATCACAACGTGCTGTGACCATAGAACTAAATGATATATCGCTTGTGACATTTCAATAGAGTTCTAAAAAGAAAAAGGTAAATTGCGATGTGCCAGGATCTGCGCATTGGCACTGATTGCTAACACACACCATCGGCTGTGCGTTGTAGGGCAGCCACTGGTGTTAATACAGCCTTAAACATATAGTCAACATGCTGAGTAGATCCAGAATAGAAATATAAAATCTAAAGTGTAAGCTTTAGAACAAGAGGGCTTATCTACCGCAAGATCTGAAAAGTCTAGGATCTATGTAACATTGCTGATCAGTTTTTCCCTTGGTCACAGTGGTGGCATCATTACTACAAAGCCCCAAGAAGCTGGATAATTAGTGATAGCAAAACTCTAAACTGGATGATACAGAAAGGGAAATAGCTGCCTGGACATGTGGCTACAGAGAGCAGAAGATGAAGAAAACAGAGAAGTGAGGGGGATAGCATGTAAAGATGAGAGCGGGGAGAAAAAAAAAATTGTCTGTATGTGAAAGAGGGGGGCAAGAAGGGTGTGGGTATGGACAGAATAAAAGGGTAACTGCCAAATAGCTGACAAAGCGTCTGACTAAGATATACAATATAAGCAATGCAGAATTGGAACTAAGAGGTAGTTTTCTATTCATTGGGCCAAGGTCTGTTTAAAATGTTTAATTATCTGCTTGATTAAAGTAAGTTTTTTTTTTTTAAATAAGCATGGTCTGGGAGTCTGTATGAATAAATTCCACATAGTAGAGCATACTAAAATTAGATATGAAACATAGCATACACGACATGCAGAGCATCCATACTTTTATTATAGTCATTGCACAGGTGACTGTTAAAAATATCGAAAGGTCCTAGATGAAACACAGTGGAGCTTGTAAAGGCATATTATTGTCAATGAGTTAATATTTTGTCTTGATTATGGTCATTATGTAATTGAAGGCACTGTTCATAATCATTGCCTTTGTACTACAGAGAAGCTCACTTCTTCCTTTACTGCCGTTTGATTCTGGGAAGTGCCCTTCAATAGTCCAGTGAGTAAAAATGTCCATGGTACAAACAGTTGTTCTCTATGCTGTTGTCACACCCGAATGATGAAGCCTTTTTGTAAAAGCCCTGACCCTTTTGTCATGTGATTCCAGCAGGATGCAGTCTACTTGATATGCAGAGCTACTTTTCAACTGCACAGACCACCTAACATAAGAGCGGAGAGATGGCTTCTTGTTTCCTGAGCTACAAAGATGCTTCTGACTCCTCTTAAAAGAGGAACTTCACCCTAATTTTTTAAATGACAACAAATATACGTTTACAAATGTTTAGTAATGGCAGTCTACAAACCGATAATCGCCGGCATTTTATTTTTTGCATACCTTAGTTTCCTTTCCTCCCCAATCTTCTCATGATGGCAATTTTCACTAAGGGCAGATGTTTACAAAGTTTGTGCAACTAAACCTCTGATTTTAACGCATACTGTTGACTGGGCTACTTGTTTGGTTGCAGCCTGGCTGGCAGGTTGAGGCTGGGGAATTTTTGTGTTTTGTATTGTTGTAAGCCTTCCCAATGTGCGCCCTGCTATAAAGGCTGGTTATAGATTCATGCATGTACCATTTTTTCTAGTTTGACTATTTTTGGTTTGGGGGACGCACTGGAGTCCCAGCGTGCATTTTTGGTTGCTGGGCCTCCAGTGCGTCCCTGCACCTTATTAGGAGGAGTTGGCTACCTCCAGGTACACCTGCATGTAATTTATCAACTTCATTAATATGCTCACACTTGGAGACTCGGATACAGAGTTAGGATCACACTTTGCAGAGGTGCCTTGGCGCGGCAGTGTGGCTTCTACATATTTTTGGCCAAAAGTTTGTGCAACTAAACCTCTGATTTTAACGCATACTGTTGACAGGGCTACTTGTTTGGTTGCAGGCTGGCTGGCAGGTTGAGGCTGGGGAATTTTTGTGTTTTGTACAGATGTTTACATCCCCCTTTACTTTCTGGAACTCTGCCACATGTGACTGGAACATGCGACATCTCAGGGGGGAAAACAAATGCCAGTCCATGAGATCTTTTGCAGTTTAAAGATGAGCCTTCCCAGGATGCATTGCTTTGACCGGGAAGTGGAAAAACTAAGTAAAAACAAAATATGTTTGTTTAATAAATGAATAGAAGATGATTTCATATTAGCATGCAGAGCTGCATGCTGGGGTGGTTTTTGGTGAAAGGGGGTAAAGGTCCGCTTTAACATCCACTCTTACTCTATTATTCCTATAGTTCTTCTGCGGAATCTAGCCAGAAATGTCCAGAGGTGGGAAACAAACTGAGAATGAATCTCACATATGTACATGTTAAAGTCTTGGTGCCCCCCTTTATCCCTACTGCCCTAGGCACTGGCATTTTTATTAAAGTAGTATTATGTTTTTTAAGCTACTATATTTTCATCTACCAGGGAAACATTCCCAAGTACATTAATTAGGCAGCTGTGTAATAAAACATAATTGCAATTCTCAATTCTTATCTGTGCAGTCAAATTCTATTTTGTTGATGCCTTGCCTATAATCTTGTGACGGGAGATGTGAGCCTGTATAGAAAGGGAAGAGGCTACAGAAGTCTCTCCCAGCTGCCGATCTCAGTGCACTTAATAGAATCTTCAGATTCACAGCAAGTCTTCCTTGCACATGAAAAACTGCCCTTTATGTATTACCAAAACTAATTTTCTATTTGGCTGAAAAAGAAAAAAAAAAAACAGTTCTGTTCGGTCTCCTGTGGTGCTTTTCATTATGTTTAGTTCACTCAGAGTCTAAGCTATTCCTCCGAGGGAGAAAGGAGGGACCAAAAAAGAGGCTAGAGGGACAAAATGAGCTTGTTAGCACATTAGAAGTGTGGCATCTAGGTGGGCTGTAGAAAACCCTACTGGTGTGTTAACTTATCACTCTAGGCATGCTGAGAATGAGGCGCTTCAATAGATCTCTCTTGTTCACACTAGAAGGAGAGGAAGAGGGGCATAAGCACCACTCTGCATTAGCAGAAATACTAATAAAAAGGATGATTCTACTTTGTTTGTGAGGACTGAAGTTTGAGGGACTGTTATGGTTAACCTTCTACATGAGTATATAGATCTAGAAATATGCTGTTTGAAATAACATCTATAACAGTAGATTAAATTCTGTTTGGAAGTTTAATGTTCCTGAATTTATAATGTTAGATCCTGTTATAGTGAAAGTATATGTAAACACAATCTCTTAAGCTCACCATTAGATTTACCAAAAGTTTGTAGTACGAGGACCTACCTTAACTAGCTAAACCTGGGCTACTGTTTTAGAGGGATTCAAAAAGGCTATTACTGATCAGGAATGAACATGCAAATCTTTAGCCCATGGATTACACTTCTGTGATGTGACATTGCAGGGTGCATTTCAGTGTGCTTCTGTAGTACAGCCCATTTATTTGAATTGGATTGCCTACCGCAACTAAATCT